TGAGATAAGACTCATTACATGCAAAGCAAGATAGTTCAAGCTGTGATTTGTCATAATTGTGATGATTGTGGCGTACAGCTCATGAAAACCCTAATCCACCATCTCAGAAAATTAGAATACCCCTTGGCGATACCCCTAGGTCAGTGAATGGTGCTGCGCCTGGCTGGAAAGGGGGTTTGCCAGGTGGCTGCTCATGAGCGTGGTCGCATCATGGCTGCTGTGTTGCTCTGCTGCAACAGCGCAACACACCCATTCACCCATGAGGCTGTGCCCAGGTCTTTGGGAGCCCGCTCACAAGAGAGCAGCCACCTGACAACCCCCCTCTTCAGCTGGGCACAGCGCTGCTCACCAACCTAGCAGTATCCCGAAGGCGCCAAGCAACACGATCACCTTTGCATCCCCCACGGTTCCCATGGTTTGGCACCTTCGGAATACCACTAGGTTGGTGAGCGGCGCTTATGCCTGGCCGGAGGTGGGAGGTTGTCCAGAGGGGTTATTTGCGAGGGAGGGTTATATTTTTGCCCACCAGAAAAATGTGGCATGGTCTTATTATCAGGACGGTAGATATCAGATGAAGTAAAAGCAAAATACCATCTGGAAATACTAAAATGAAACATATGTTTAAATATTTTAGATGCATAAATGTGAAGACAAGAATTACTGCACATCCTGATAGTTGGAAAAATGAAAGGCAACTGAAAAAAGGCTGACAGAAGACTATAAATTATCAGTGATGACACAAGCATGAACTTACAAGTAATCAAAAGAACCAGTTACAGACAGACAATACTGATTAAATGATGTCATTAATATTTTGCAAAAATTGAACTAAGTAAAATAATTATTTTACTGTATTTGAGGTTTTAAAAAACCGAATGTCTAATAGCTGTTAATATTTAGGATGAAAGAAAAGAATAGACACTCCTTTTATATCAATATTAAATGAAATTGAATTATTGTTAACCATGACTTACATAAGTATTTTAGCATTTTAGAAATGTTTTGACCCATAAAGTCACAGATTTTCTAGCTTTCAATATTTATGTATTTCTCTTTCCTCATAGCATCTCATATACTGAACATGGCAAATAAAAATTCATGTGACTGAACATAGAACTAACAGAACCTGTCTGAGCTATGCAGTGTAAGGTAAAAAGATGCTCCAAAGCATGTAGGGTTGTGAACATAATAGTTCTCAAGTCCTTAAAATAACCATTATTTTTCTTAGGAATGTGCAGGAAGTGATAACAACGAAAAACAGCTTCTTATGGGCCAGAAATAAGACACAAAGATAGGGTATATGGAAACTAATAAGACATATAGTGTGACATAGACAGGTGGCAGGATTTGAAGACAATCTTTTACCTTACTGACGGATCAGGGTGGGAGGGACCAAGCCAACAACGGCATGAATTAGAGGGAATCCTTGGCTGGTAAAATTCACTCAACAATGTCTATTAGCATTACTAAGATTGTTGTCTCTAAGCAATGTCATCACATGACATCTTTCTTTATGACTTCATCCCTTAGTGACCAAAATTTTAGTCCCAATTTTGGTAGTTAAGTCAAAGATTATATGTAATGGAAAGAGTTCATAATTCTTAATACAGCCTGTTATTCCATTTTGCAATAGTGCTGCAACACCATGTGATGCTTTGGGCTTGGACTTTTTAAAAGATTTGTTTCTTTAAAAAAAAATCAGATAAAATTGTTTACATTCCAAACCTGAGAAAAATTGTACCTTTAGAGAAAATCAGTTTTTTAACTGCTAAATAAATGTTATTCTAAAATGATGCTATAATTTTATGAGCATTTAATTAAAGTAATTGTGATTTGATTAGATACAATTTTTATTTATTATTTAGATACATCTTAGAATCTAATCCTTATTATAAACTAGGTGGATATGAATCAAAGTTAGAGATACTGGGTTGAAATAACTGGTTTATGTTTAGAATTATTGCCAAATTCTCAAATAATTCTTACAAATAAAAATGTTAAATATACTTTAAGTTTTAAAGAAATAATTCAAATGCTAATATTTCAAATAATACACAAATAATAAGACCACAAATAAAATAAAAACATTTTGTAATGTTATAAGGTACTACTTTCAATTTCAGATTTCAATTTTTCTTCTCTTTTCTAAGTTAATAATTTGAATATAATCATTATTTTTGTCAATATCAATTTCCTGTACTGGAAAAGGTTAACAAATTGGAAACACACACACACACACACACACACACACATATACATATGTACATATAAATATACACACATACACACAGAGAAAAACACATACATACATACATACATACATACATACATACATACATACATACATAGCCAGTTAATAAATGATCTGGTATATTTAAACCAAAGGGTACAGTGAAAATGATCAGTTTCCTCGTGACTTCTGACCTCTGAACTACAACCTCCTTGCAGCTAAAACATTCAACACATCATTTAATCTTTTCTCACTTAGAGTAGCATAGTACTGAAAAAGGAAAGGAAAAAAAATAATCTCAGGACTTCATCAATTTTTCATGAATTTTCATTTAGACCAGAGCCTCTCTTGCAGTGGTCAATAGATCAAGCTGCTATCTCAAATTTAACAGCTGGGGCTACAGCTGCTATCTCTGGTGCTACAACCAACTCTGCCTAGATCAGAAGCAATATCAGCCAGATTAGGACTTGTCTGTAGTCTTTCAAAGCAGGGACCTGATACATGAAATTCAAATTCTGTCTCTGTATCTTTTTCAATATATTTTTTATGATCATTTCACTTCTATTTAGCAATTTACATTTGCATAAAAAGCGTTCTAGTCCTGTTAAGATAACAAAATATCCATAGCCCATTGTTACAGAAGCAAATGCTGTAATTTCTGTAAACCGTATCTTGAATATGGTATTATTTCATTTCCAAAAATGAAGCTAACTATAAACGTCCATTAAATACACTTGCAAAAGAAAATAAGATTATCACAAGGATATTTGATTTATTAATACAAATAGTTCATAATTATGAACAGTTCGTAATTTATTTGAAGAGTTAAAGTCACATTAAAAGCATAAAAAACATTGTTCATGAAACATTTGCTAAAACAGTAATAATTCCCACTAGCAAAATAGAATGAAATACCAACTGGTATCTTAGCATAAATGGTTATGCATGACTACAGCATTAACAAACATATCAATGGTCAAAACAATAAGCCTACTTTCCTTTAATGGTCCCATAAACTTTATGGATAACATTAATAAAGTTAGGAATGCATAGTGGAAAGTATACATTTCTCCACTATGATTCAATAACTGCAAAATATTTCATAAAGTCTGAATATGGTTTAGAATTACTTACATGCTACTTCCAGAGACGCATTACGACTCACAGCTTCCCCCAGATAGTTCCTGGCAACACAAACATAACTTCCTTCATCTGGTTTACTCCTGCGTCCATGTACAATTCTTAGGAAAAATAAAGATCCACTAGGAAGCAGCATGCGATGTGAACGGGGGTCATCTTTGTCAGTCTCCACACGCTCTCCATCTTTGTACCACTCAATAATGGGAGTTGGTCTTCCTTCAGCCTTGCAGTTCAAAGTTGTAGGTTCTCCTTTAGAAACAATAACATCAGATGGATGCTCTACTATTCGTGGAGGAAAGTCTTCCTGGCGAAGACGAGATCCTAATGACAAAGAAAAAATAATCAGTAAGCCATTTTCAAAACTCATAGTTTTCACAAATGAAATAGTCATAGACACTTTGTATGTAAGCATGTATATCGTATTTATAAAATCAGATGCACAATCTATATAAATAAAGTTCAATTTTGCATTAAAGACTAGATCATTTTTTGATCTATTACTAATTTGAATTATTACTTTTGTGGAACTATTCATTTCCTAGGAAAGTGAGACATTGTAGAATGAATTCAGACATTTGGGGGGGCTAGAAATAAGTGTTTTTTTAAATAAAGATGAAAATAGTATGTGAAAAATATATTTAGAGTTATATAAACAATCACTACTATATACCCTTCTTCCCTTAAAAGACTAATCATAAAGCATATCCTTGTACAAAAATAGGTCTACTTTACTCATTTGAAATTTTATTTGAAATAATTAATTGGCTTTAAAACATTTTAGAATTTTTTTTTAAAAAAAATCTTAGATACCAATAGTCCTCCCAACCTAGGATATATATGGCTTGCTACTGTTAAACTATTTTCAGTTTGTAGTGAAGCATTTTCATAGGAGTCTCTCCAATACAATGGTACCTCGGAACTCATCATTAACTGGTTCTGGGAAGTGTGATGTGTACCAAAAATGATGAGTACCATTCCCCCACCCCAAAGAATAATATAGTGAGTCACAAGGCAGCCGACAACAACAAGTTGCAGCTTGTGTGTTGAGTACCAAATAAAAAATGAGTACTGGGACAAACTTTCACATCAAAATGTGTTGAGTATCAAATTGGATTAATTTCAAAGCAGCTGAGTACCAACATATCACTGTATAATATAATTACCTGAAAACCAATGTGTTTGTAGACATGTTTTGTATGTGTCCATGTGTCATTCAGAGTTGAGATTAGCAGTGTGTTTGCTAGCTTGTATCTACAATTTAATAAAGGGGGAAAATATACAATTCCTAGATTGAACACCCTTCTTTGAAGAGAGATAAGCACATTAATGGTAATTATTTTGGGTTTTTTCTGAATAAGTTCTTTATTGAACATTATTTATTATTAATAATAATAAGTTCAATAAAGAGCATATTGTACATTAAAATAATAATTATTTAATAATAATAATAATAACCTATTATTCTTTATCCCCTTCATGGATTACTGCCTTCTTATGCAAAGTTAACATTTCCTCCAAGAAAAAAAGTGTTACTTATTATTACTATCATTGTTCAATATAATGCATTACCAACAAATGTATTTCAATCATCAACCAATAAAGATATTTAATTATATTCTGCCCGCCTGTCAGAATGCTTTATTAATGTTTTAGATTTAGATTTGTTTGCTTAATCACATAACTGAAACTTACACCTATATACTGTACTTACCTAAAAATCAAATATCCTATTAAATTCCTAATGCTATTCAATATCCTATTAAATTAGTAGGACTTACTTCTGAATAAATATTTACAGGATACTATTAGTCAACTAATTCCAAATAATCAATGTATGTAGAAAAGTTGGATTGGTCTCATTTCTGCATACAGCTGTGCAAGCATATGTTATGTGATTAAGCANGACCAGGACCCCCTGGCACAGGGAGATCTTCTCCTGCGGAATCCTCCATGGGGTCAAAATGGAAAGGTGAACCAGATCCACAAACCAGGCCCTTCTGGGCCAGTGAGGAGCTACCATGATGATCTCTGCCCTTTCTGCCTCTAGTTTCCTCGGGGTACTGGAAATGAGAGGGAGGGGAGGGAAAGCATAGAGAAGTCCCCGAGGCCAGCGGTTCTGGAGAACGTTGGTGTCTTCTGCCCCTTGAGTCGGGAAGCGTAAGAAGAACCGTGGTAGCTGGACATTCAACAGTATCACAAAGAGGTCCACCTCTGGCATCCCGAACTATTGACAGATCTGTTTGAATAGCCTGGGATGCAGTTGCCACTTGCCGTGATTCACTGTGGCCCTGCTGAGCCAATCAGCCTGGTGATTTGCCAATCCCGAGATGTGCTCCATCACGATTGATGCCAGATGATGTTCTGCCCACATGCCTAGCTTCTGTGCCTCGACCCACAATGCTCTCATGTGTGTCCCTCCCTGACGGTTGACATGAGCTTTGATGGCTACATTGTCCATCAGGAGGAGTATGTGCTTCCCCAGCAGGTGATCCTTGAAGTGTCTGAGGGTCAGATTGCTACCTTGAGTTCCAGCCAGTTGCTGTTGTGACAGAGGTCTGACTCCATCCACCAACCCTGCACCAGCCACGATTCCAATAAGGCCCCCAAGCTATAGAGACTTGCATCCATCATAAAAGTGAGACATGATGGTTCCCAGAACTCGGATCCCTTGTTCAGAGCTGGGGACAGCCATCAATGCAGCGAAAGAAGCATCTGAGGTGAGACTCGAGTGGTGTCCCTGTTGCTGGTGAGGAATCAGGGCCCACTGCAGAGTCCTGGCATGTAGTTGAGCCCAAGGCACAGTGCCGATACAGGAAATCATTTTCCCTAACAGACTGGAGAGTAGGACAATGGGCACTGACCGAGGCTTGTAGGATCAGCTGCACAAAGCTGTCCCGATGATCTGGAGTCAGGAAGACTTTTCCTAGTTCGGAGTCTATAATTTCTCCCAGATGTTGGAGCCGTGTGGTGGGGTTCAGATGACTTTTCAGGAAATTCACCGAGAACCCGAGGTCTTGCAATGTCTGGAGCAACAGATGCAATCTTGTTGTGCAAGGGCCAATGATGTTGCTTCAACCAGGATGTCTTCCGGGTAGCACTGGATTCTGACTGGAACAGCCTGGAGGTAAGCTGCCACTACCACTGTTCCTTCTAAGGTGCGTGGCTGCGCAGCTGCGCACATGGCGAGAAAACACCGCGCAGGCTCCGGTAGCTGGGGAGGAGGTCCTTTGCAGGTGCTGGCCAACTGGCCCTGGACTTGTTTTGATGAGCACGGGGCGACTGACAGTAATTGTGAAGCCCCAAAGCCCCCGCCACGACCGGACTAACTGCTGCTGCCTTCTCNTTGACATTGCCAAACACCACATGAGTGGCAATATATCGCTTCACAGTGCTTTTACAGCCCTCTCTAAGCGGTTTACAGAGTCAGACTCTTGCCCGCAACTGTGGGTCCACATTTTACCAACCTCAGAAGGATGAAAGGCTGAGTCAACCTTGAGCCTGGTGAGATTTGAACTGCCAAATTGCAGGCAGAGGGCAGGCAGCAGAAGTATGCTGCGGTACTGCATTCTAACTACTGTGCCACCATGGCTCCCAGAACTTGAGGAGGGTTCGACTGGGTTGAACATAGCTTGGAGCCCTTGGCGATTCTTATGCGGGGAAGCTGCTCTTGGGCTATGGGGACATTCTGCCAAGAGCAAAACGGTTGCTGCCCGAGGCAACTGTGCTTGGTCTCCTGAAAGGGACCCACAGTACCGCATTTTGTGGCGTTGCATTTGTCTGCTTCCAGTTAACTGGCCTTGACAGTTGTAAGAAGTAATTACACAGCCTCCTCCCAGAAAATGAAATATTTTGAGAAATATCAAAAGAGGCATAAGATTATATTCCCCCCTACTGAAAAATGGGGAATTTTTTTTTTTTAACAAAGACAGAAAGCAGCCTCAACAGCCTCCAGCAGATGACTGAAGTCTTTAATGATGGATGTGTTGTGCCCATGAAGAAAGATTGGGCCAAAGATTGGGTGATGGGATTAAGAAGGATAGAACATGACCTTTAGGACATAATAGGATCAACCCACCACCATTGAAATGGCAAGAGACACAAAAGCCTCTTCATTGCACAATCCCAAGAACAGTTCAAACTTCAGTCACAAAAATCTATTATGATCCATCCACTCATGCAGCCGTTTTGTCAGCTGTCCCAGAACTACATACTGTTGTTGGTTCTGCTCATCAGTAAACAGACTCCTTTTTTTCTAACCAGCCTCCATTTTATTTCCAGCACCTTTCTCCCAGTTTGGAACCAGACCAGATTTTTCTTCCAACAGCATTTTGCCACATGGATCAGCCTTTCCCATCATGCTACCAAGACAACAGGCAACTATGTGGGCAGAAAGAGTGTGAAGGGGAAGGAGCAACTGTGTTACAAGCAGTCCTCAGTTTATCACCATAACTGAGCCCAAAATTTCCATTGCTGAAGTGAGACAGTTATTCAGTGAATTTTGCCCCGTTTTACAACCTTTCCTGGCACAGTTGTCAAGTGAATCACTGCAGTTGTTAAGTTAATAACATGGTTGTTAAATGAATCTGGCTTCTCCATTGACTTTGCTTATGAAAAGTTCACAAAAGGTGATCACATGGCCTTGGGACACTGCAACTATCATAAATGATCCAATTGCCAAGTGACCAAATTTTGATCAATGGACCATGGGGATGCTACAATGGTAATAAGTGTGAAAAAGAGTCTAAGTCGCTCCTACATTGCTGTTGTAAGTTCAAATGGTCGAGGATATTACCTATACTGTATTTGCCTTTTTATTGGCAGCCTTTACCATCTTAATGCATTGGGAGGTTGGCATGGACAACTTTGCTTACTTTCCATGTTCTGACTTAGTGCTTCTTTTGGATGACACACCCAAAGACAAGGGCTATTACATGAGAACATGGTAAGGGTTTCCATAAATTGTCCATTTTGGGGGACCGTAGATCCAATCCTTTGCCTCGCTGTATAAATTGAGGTAGATGAAGCGTAGAAAGATTACGCTAGTCATCAGAAGCAGTGATAATAGTTCCATATGCAACTCTTTCCTAATTTCCTCTTCTACAGCGGATTATTCTTGAGCAAATTTCGCTCTTCTGCGCGGCTTTTATATTTTATATTTTAATTTGTATGGGGAGTGTTTGGTATGACTATGGTTGATTGAATGTACCCACTTTTACGGATTATATTGTTGTTCCTTGTTTTTAACTTGTTTGTGAGGGATTGACTGATTGTATGTATGTGTATGTGTGAGTAGGCCAGGACCACGGCCGGGTACCTCCTAC